CTCGACCCCGATACCGCGTCGTGGTCGATGCACGTTCGCGGTGCCCCGCGTCTTCCTCTTCGTCGTCGGCTGTGCTACGAGAGAGAGAGAGAGAGAAAGAGAGCGAGGCGCTCTCTCGAGCGCTTCTCCGCGAGGACGTCGACCGAGTTTTAAAAGCATCGCATCCCTTCGTCGTCGACTCCTCGCGAGAAGGACCCCCCCCTCTTCCCCCCCCGGACGTTCTCTCACTTCAAAGAGAACGTTTTCGAGAGCAGCGAACGAGTTGTGTAACGTCCGCGGCGAGCGCGCGACCTTACGTGACCTCACTCGTCCGCTACCTGACGAGAACGAGGACGACGTTGGAGGGAGTTCCGAGAAATCGACTGATCGCGGGGATCAGTCTGCATCCGCCGGAGAGCGTGGGAGGTGGCGGCAAGCAGGGGCGAGGAAAAAAAAGATTGCGAACGGTAGTCGGAGAGGAAACGCTCGGTGAAAAGTGCAAGTGGAAGCGTGCGTTCGCGAGAACGATGCATACGCGCGTAACGTGCTCCTCGTAGTGTTCCGTTTCTCCTCCTGGTGTGTTCACGTGTTCGTCGAAGATATGAGGATGTGACAGTCCACCGTTGTTTGTGCTCGAGATTGTTCGGGAAAATCACACGATAATGGTGATAATTATAAATATGATTGTGATTATGGAATTGCACGAATTCGGCTTGTTATGAGTTGTAAATGATAAATAATAAATGAACTTTACACTTCTTGAACGATTCTACTCGTAGTGTGATGATTTCATCGGCGGTAATCTAATAATAATAATAATGATATACACGACCACGGAACGATGCCCTCAAAACGTGCCAGTTGTTTAATGAAAATATAAATTAAGTCTATACGTTAAACTTTGAGAGAAACTAAGCTATTTGATGGATAATAGCGAGGTCGAAGTTGTTGAAGTAGTAATATCGCGCGTGCAGGCTGCAAATTCTGAAGAATCGAAACTGCTTTCTAATGCACTCCGATGCGCTACGCCGGCGCAACGCTCGATATATTTATATATACCCACGTGTGTCAGAGTCGCTAACTTAACGGACTTTCAAGAAATTGAACCATAAAACTACAGTTCCGCATGTTTCTTCGATAATTATCTACTCCTTTGCATCAACTTTGTAATCTGCGAAATCCATCGTTCGATCGGTGAGTAAATATAATATAAAAAACGATCCAATTTTTTTTCTTATCTTTAAAAGAACCTTCGTCGCGTCTTGCCGAAATTTTTCAAGTCCAGTTTTTCCTGTCCGCTCTCGACGATTGCAAAATTCTACGACGATCTCCTTCCTCGCAATTAAGCGTTCATTCACCGGTATGAAATATATTTCTGTTTTTTACGTGCTTTCGCAGATTTCAAGCAAGTGCCGCTTACCCCGAACGGTCTCGCTTTCTCCCCGCGCTTTCGCTATCGCTGCACAGAGCGAAAAGATAGGAAAGTCGCTACTCACGCGACGATGATTGGTCGTGAAAGGTAGAGCGTGGCGGCGAAATACAGGTATTGTTTTAAATGAAAGGTCTCGCCAAGCCGGTAGACAAAACGCGCGTTGCGACTGTGCGTTTCACAATGTGTCTTGTGTGTACCAAGTCACGACCGACATCCACTTCGAATCGATACATCTTGACCAGTTGTCGCGCGTTTCTTAATGGTCCGCGTCTATAATTGATTATCGACTTTATTTCTTTTTTCTGTTCGCTTTAGAAGTCTTTTATCTAAAATTTGTAAACAATAAGGAAATACTATTAATCTTTCGATGAATATTTATTCGAAAATATGCTTTGTAAACATATACTATAGATCGATGGTGGGGTGTTGAAAGTGTTATCGAATTTCTGCGGGTGCATTCGATGGGCTTGCTGGATTTCCGTGTCCTTCGAAGAAACGATACCGGCCTTTTGAAAGGCCTCTTGATAAAAATTACAAAAGCTGAAAGTTTTGATGAGGGTCTTTTCAAAATCGCATCTTTCTATTTATTTTTTCATCCTTTTTTATTGCACATTCCTTTGCCCTTTTTTACGAATTAACAGTCGTTTCTTTCTTTTCGTCCTGGGGAAGATATTAATTTTGTTGCACTTTGACACTCATTACATTTCTCTCTATGCATAAAATAAAATATGCATGCACCGCGATGTGTTTTATGAAACATTAAATAGGCGCCGGCCGAATAAACGCTTCCTGATTATTACGCCCGTGAATTAATACGTCGGGTGCGAAAGTGAGCATGCGCTAACCACCTGTTAGCAGGTACTGCGAAAACAACCAAAAACAAAAAAAGAAATAGTAGGACCTACTGCTGACAAGTACAAAAAAGGCGAAATATTTTGTAAACGAAATATTTTTCGGAGATTATTACAAACTGCACTGCCGCACAACCATTCATTTTTTACGCTTTTTGTATTACATAATGATACTTCTTTGTCACTTTGTCACAAAATTTCAAAAGAATCGTGGCAGCAAATAATGTCACTGCATGAGACTGCATTCTTTTCTACGATCAGCAAGCGTTCTTTTCAGTAATCGGCTTTTATGCAGTCGATGTCTATTTCATGTTTCTCATTTTTGTGATCTTTAATATGATAGATTTTCACGAAGAGTGAAATAGGACGTAGAAGAAATTATTTATAAAAATCAAACGAATATTAACGTTTGTCGACGGAAACTAATTAAAAATTTTGCGCGTGCTGTAGCAAATTACAAATTTAATTAGGCATGTTCTCGTACGCGTTACGTTTACCTTAAGGGATCAATTGTTTGAAATGGTTATTACGTTTGCACTGTAATTAAGTAGCTGTTAACAGATAACTGTTAATGATAAGGAAGGTGTGCCCTAGAAAATTCTCTTATCTATCCATCTATCTAATCTCCGTGAAAACGACGTTCTTCAACGCGAGTCAGACTCGTGCGGGCGCGAAGGAAGTCTCGCACGCGTCTTTTCAGAATTGGTACCGCGAAACCTATATCCGCGTCTATAAAGCGCAGTGAACGCGAGCGGGTGCAACGAACTCGGCTCCGTATCTTTTTCTTCCTCCCTTTCCCCCTCTCCTCTCTTTCTCTCTCTCTCGCTTACTTTTCAGCAATCCTTCCC